TTTGTCTGAATCGGACGTTGTAAAGATCACGGTGTGTGAGTTGCCTTGCCTCACGGGATGCGCTCACGTAGGCGGCGAACAGATGAGAGGGGCTGCTTTCGGGGCAGACGGCCTCTATAATGCTGGCCTTAAGCTAAATAAAATTCTGCATTTTCCCCACGTTTACAAGACTTCCTGTCCCTCTACTGCTCCCTCATCTATGTACATATGCCCGGAGAAGTATGTGGACCGAAAAACTAACCAGCTCCATCTAGGGGGTAAGACTGAGGGGTGATTTGTTGCTTTCTTCTCTGTATTTGTCCATTTTACTTGAATTTTGCAGACTAAGCATCTATCATTATTATAAAAACAATAAAGTCACAACTTAAAAAAATACAAAGCCGAGGTCCCTCTCTGTGCGGAAACAGAGGAAAAGGAAGGCATCCCCAAGGGAGGGCAGGCAGCCATCAGCCCAGGGCTGGCACTGCCAAGAGGCCACCACCCCCACCATCCATGCCCAGCTGAATTCTCCCTGTCCCCCAAGGCTGAGCCCAAACCCCATACGTCCCCAGAGCCCTCCTTGATCCAGCCCCCACAGCCATAACGAATCCCCTAGAGGAACAGCACTGCCTCCCCACGCCCCCACATTTGCCTCTCTCCCCCTTAGAAAGCCCTTTTGTGACTCCTGGTTCCCACGCCAGCCCTGTGCACAGCCTGGATCCTTACCACCGCCCTCTCTCCTTCGTTATCCAGATGAGAAAGGGAGGTTCAGAGAAGCTAAGTGACCTGCCCAAGGTCACCCGGCTGGACGTGCAAGGCCAGGACATGAAGGGCTGGGTCTGCTGAAGTCAAATCTCAGGCACTCTGCTCTCCTGGCACTATTTATTTCTCTACCTCGTGCCGTTCTTATCACTTTCCATTTTGCATTAGAGTTTACAATTGCTGTACAGCACCAAATAAATATGTAAGGGAAGAAGGAAGGAAGGAGGAAAGGATGCAGGGAGGAAGGGAGGGGAGGGGAGAAGAGGAAGGGGAGAGGATGGGAAGGGAAGGGAGGGGAGAAGGGGGAGCAGGGGAGGCCTCTGATCACACTCGGGCTGGGAGGGGAGAAGGATGGAGTGCCTGTGTGAGCACCCACACCCAGGGGACTCTGAACATGCAGTCTGGCCAAGAGACAGCCTGGTCTGGTCAGATCACCATCGCCAGGCCCTGACGCCATAGGCCCCAGCTGCAGGCCCTTGCCAAGCCAGACAAGACGGGAAGATGGAGAAGGGGCAGCTGGGAGCACAGGGTTAACCCGGAGCCTGGAGAATGCTAGCCTTGGAAGCTGAGGGGCCGTGCTGGGGCTGCGGGGGATGAGGGCCGTGGAGGCCTCCTTTGTGTGGTGTGGGTGGAGGCAAAGGTGACTGCTGAGGGTGGGGGCTGGGGTGTGGCCGCCAGCACAGCTTGGGAGGGAGCAACCCTTAGCATGATGACAGGCAGTAACCACACCAACAGTCTGGGCCGAGCCAGGCTCTGCAGGCCCCGTGCTATTTCCTGGGTTGTGCCTTAGTTTGGTGGAACAGGAAGCCCAATAAAGTATGCTTTTAATTGTCAAAACTGGACGATTTAAGAGCAGTTTACACACAAGAAACTGAGAGCACTGGCTGCCTTTGGGAGAGCCCTGGATGCCGGGGGCAGGCCTGAGGAAGAGATTTCCCCATATAGCCTTTGTACCTTTCCACTTTGGTACCACGGGCATGTACTACTTATTTTATAAAATTTTATCAAACTTAAAAACAATAAAAGCAGCACCAGTTTTCCACCTGTAGAGGTAAAGGCAAAGTTCTTTTGAGATGAGACACTCTCATTTTGGAAAAGTCATTTTAACAGGCCTTTGAATTTAAACAGAGGCAAAGCCAGAAAGGATAATTTGGGAGCAACGAACTTAACAGTCTATTTTCTCTGCGAGAAAAGCAACAACTCTCCAGAAATTATTGATTGGGCCTGAGACTGAGGAGGAGGGAGTGATGGGTTTGGGTCCTCTCTCTCCCGTGGGGGTAAGAGAGGCCACCCCTGAAGCCTGGGGGACCTGCGGGCTGAGGGGGGCTGTCAGGAGGAGCCGCACTGCACGGCAGCTTGTGGAGTCCTGGGGGATTCCCCGGTATCCTCGGGGAGGGCAGGTGGAGCTCTGCTAACCACACGGGACTTGGGCATTAAAGGTGACGAGAGACCCCACAGGCTGCAGACCCCACAGACCTCTGGGAGTCTGGCACCTGTCCACTGAGAGCAAGGCAACACGTCACATGTTGGTAATCACGGTGGCCAGGCCTCTCATGGAGGCCCTTTGTTTCCAGGCCCTTCCACGGACAGGCACTGGCAGGACCCGGGTGAGGCTGGCACTAGGGCAGAGAAGGAAACTGTCCCCGGCCCCCAGGTCCAGAGAGAGCCCCTATGGCTGCAAAAGTGCTCCCTGGAAAATGGCGACTCACGGCCCAAGAGAAATCAGAGCTGTTCTCTCACCCCCGAGGGTCACTGGCCCTGCAACACAGGGACTGGTGACTGCAGAATGAATCAGAAATGCAGGCCTGAGAGCAGAGCCAGCCTGCACTGCTCAGTGTCAGAGGGCGGCCTGACCCCTCCCTCCGTCCGTGTCTCTCTCTCTCTCTGCAGAAAGAACTAAGAGTCTCGGTTCCTCCCCTTTCCGACAAGTTCAGGCGAGCCAGAAAAACCTAAGTCTCAATGTCCCCCCCAAGAAAACAGGGACAGTCACGCCGCCCTCGAGAGGCTGTGGTGAGGGTGAGAGGGCCATTCAGCACAGGGCGGGCCACCGGCCCCTCTTTCCAGCTGCTGCGGGCAGCCCGGAGGGAGCAGCAAGTCTTGGCAGCAGCTGCGGCAGCCTGGCACCCTGCGCCCACGGGCTGGGCTGAGGAAGCTGGCACCCTGCCCCTCGCTTGACTCATACTCCTTTTCCAAGTCTGGTCCACCAAAAACAGGACAGGCGCCCCCTGAGCCCCCGTGCTCCGTCCAGAGGGGAGAGTCTCACCCCAAACGGCCATGTCAGCAGGGTTTGCACGGCCAAAGAAGCTAGGCGCTCTCTGCCACCTCGTAAATGGATCCACAATCTCCAAGAAGCTCTGGGGAGTCACCCACACTCTGAGATGAAAACTCTCTGGGCTCTTCCTGTCTGCACCGCATCATCTGGCAGGCACATTCAGTACACCCCACCTCCTACGATTCTCTGGTGGCTTCATGTGCAGCTGGATGGTCTAGTGGCTAAGAGCATAGGCACATCTGGAGTTGGACAGCCAAGGGTTTGAATTCTGGCTGTGTGACCTTGGACATGTCACCTAACCTCTCTGGGCTTCAGCATTGACATCCGTAAAATGGGGCTACCTCATGCACTTAGACTGATGCAAATAAATCACTCAGCTTGAGAATGCTTAGTACATAAAGAGCTCTCAGACACTCAGCTGTACCATCCAGGAAGGCAAAGGGTTCCAGGACCTGGCATAGTGCTGGGCACACAGCTCGACCAGGCTTTACTTTTTTAAAGTGATTCCAACAGAATAGCAGGCATCATTCTCAGAGGGAAAGCAACTCTAGAAACTCAACACAGGCTTCTGAGCTGTCCCCTCCTCACCCAGATTTCCAATCAGAGGCCTGGCATAGGGGACATTTTAGAAGCTCTTCATGCCCATCGCCACTTCCAGAAGCTCCTGCTTCAGCAGGATTTATGAGTGGGGATGGGGCGGGGGCCCCATGCAGCGGGGGTAGCAGTGGGAAGGCGGGAGACAGCAGTTGGGGAGGGAAACCCAGGACAGGAAGTTGGGGAGCTGACTTGGCCCTGCTACTTGGGGTTCAATGGTCCCCTTAAAGGACTCTGGGCAAGAGGTCACCAGGAGAACCACAGAGGGCAGACTGGCAGGTGGGCAGCAGACAGCGAGACTCAGTGATGTCATGTTTTCCCAAAATGAGTCCATGGCTTGCCCCTGGGCTATGAACAGTGAGCCGTGTGCTGTGGCCTCAGGGCCTCCCCGTCTCCTTGCCCTCCAGGCTTGCCTGGCATCTCTCCTGCTCTCCCTGCCCACGGACCCATGGCCACAGCATCCATGCTCTGCTCCTAGCCACGACCCCAGTCCAGGGCACATCCCCACGCTGCCTCTGTCATGTCTCTCCAATCTCCATGTTGAAGGAAGACGTAAGTGCCAGACAGACCTGGGTTTCACAACTGCCTCTAACTCCTCCTGGCTGGGTGACCTTGGGCAGGTTACTCTGCTTCTCTGAGCCTCAGTTTTTTCATCTGTAAAATGGAAACATTGATAACAGCCTTGCTAGGTTGTATGGGGCTACGTGAGAATGTCTGTAAAGTCCTTGGCACAGAGCAGGTGCTTAGCGAATGGAAAGTATGACATTCAAAGGCCTCTGTGATCTGTCTGCCCTCAATTTACTTTCCTAGCTGTATTTTTTTGAAGAAGATAATAGCTCATTCCTCTTGACGCTCCCTGTGTGCCAGTCACTGGTCTAAACACTTGCATAGAAACACATTTTATTCTCATATCACCCCATGAAGGGTACTATTAGTACCTCCATTTACAGGTGAGAAAACTGAGCCACAGAGAAGTTAAGTAACTTGAACATGATCACACAGCCAGTGAGTGAGGAGCAAGGTTTCCCATGCAGGCAGCCTGGCTTTGGAGCCTTCATGTGCAACCACAACTCCATCCTGCCTCATCTCTCTCTCTCTCCTTCACGCATCCTACAAATTACAGTTCAGTCCAACTGGACTCACCGCCACACTCTGCATTCCATCTGGACTCTCCCATCCCTGTGCTTTTGCCCAGCTTCCCTTCTTGCACTGGAATGCCCACCTCCTCCATGAAGCCTTCCCCAAGTCCTCCCTCATGTCCACCTTTGTGGGCTCATCACAGTTGGACTCGAAGGTGGTTATTTGTGCCCAAGTCTCCTCTCCATTTCTAGCCTGGAGGTGGCCTCAGCTACCCCAGCCCATTCTACAGTGTCAGACACGCAGTACCTGGACAGGTGATGGCCTGGCTGGAGCACCCTCGTGTGTGCTCCCCGGTGGGCGTGGAGGAGAATCCAGCACTCATGGCCCCACTACTTCTGCAAGGACAGCTCAAGGGCTGCAGCTGCAACCGCCTCTGGGGAGGCTGCCTGCCAGCTGGGCTTCCTTTTCTCTGCTCAGGGGAAAGGACCCATCCATGGAAGTCCTCCATTGTCTAGGGTTTGGGGCTGAACTCTAGAGAGGCTAAACAGACATCCGTCCACAAAGGGACAGGACTGAGAACCACTTGCTAGTGGGCTTGGGTAGTGGGACCTATAGTGCAACCACGCACCAGCCCACCTAATTCAAAGGGGCAACTCAAGGGGCAACTCAGAGGGTTTCAGGCCCATCCGCAGGATCCCAGCCCAGTGCACACAAGGTACCGACTGCAAGAGGCCCCACTCTCCCATTCCCTTCCTGTCCCACACAGGGCCTCTGGTCCATGTCAACTGCCCCCTCCCACTCACCACGACTCCCACCACCTCTGCACAGATCACTCCCTAACAGGAGCACCCTATCCTGGGAGGATGAGCAGGTCCCATCCTCCCAGCCAGCAGCTCCTTGAAGGTCAAATCCACGCCTCCTTCATCCCAGGGCTCCGTGTCACATCTGTCATTCATGGGTCCACACTCAGGTGTTGGAACTCACTGCGTGCCTGGGGCTGTGCTAAGCAGTGGGGACAAAGAGGTGGAAAAGGCAGACGCTGTCCTGCCTCGCAGAGCTCACTACCTGGTGGAGACCACAGACCATGAGACCAGCAGTGGCTAAGCGGAGTAAGCACAGGGAGGGGGATGCGCAGGCAGCCGTAGGGAGGGCCACTGAACTGGGCTTCCAGAAAGTGACATCCAAGCTGCAGCTGAGGATGAATGGAAGCTGGCCACAAAAAAAGAAGGAAGGAGTGTTCTCGGCAGCTGGATGCCCTGGGATGAAGGAGGCATGGATCTGACCCTCCAGGAGCTGCTGGCTGGGAGGAAGGGACCTGCTCATCCTCCCAGGATAGGGTGCTCCTGTTAGCAGGAGACGTGCGTCTGGGAAAGGAGGGCAGATTGGAACTTGGAACCCCAAGTACAAGGTAAGGGCCGATGAAAGAAGAGGCTGGGGCTAACATTCACTAGATCACAGGCCCAGGGAAGCCATTTGGCGGCCTGAGCAGCTCGGTGCTTACTCCAGAGTGGGGTTTCCGTCTTGCTGGAACAGCCATCAGGAAGACAGAGGCCCTGATCCTTCAGTCCCTCCTCGCTAATTTAAACCTCTCCTGCTGCCATCCACGCCACTCCCTGAGATCAGGTCACTGCCAAGAGGGAGCAGCAATCAGCAAATGCCGGCCTTGCAAAAGAGGCTGCTGTCCCACCAGAACTGCCCCGCCTGGGTCAGCCTTGAGGAAGGCCGAGGCTCAGACTTCCACTTGCAGTGCCCACAGGGGCTGTGGCTGCCCCTGAAGCCAGCCTCCCCGGAGCTTCCCAACCAGAAACCAGCGGCACAAGCTCATCACAGTTACGAAATGACCATTCCTCTGTGCCATTCGCCTCTCTGGCTGCAGCCAGAGCAGGACAGACACACACACAGGGGACATCACGGCAGGGCTGGGAGCGCTGACCGGAGCTGGGCTGCAGGGCTCGGGCCCGGCCTCGCACTCACCAGCTCTGAGATGCTGGACCGTAAAATGGTGAGAACAAAGTACCACCTCACAAGCTTCCCGCAGGAACTCTGAGTGCAGGCCTGGAAGATGCTGAGCATGCAGACTGTTACCAGTAACATTTCCTGTGCACCCTGCCCCGCGGCACCCGCACCACAGGCAGGGGGAGGAGGAAAAGTGGAGGAAACATAGCCTCTCTCAGGATAAAAATAAGACAGGGGCCTGAACTTTGAGGTCATGAGCGGTTTGGTTCTTCATGCCCTGCGGGGATGACTTCCCCTTCCTGACTCACAGGTTCTAGGTCTCTAATCTCGGGCCTCGTCAGGCACGTCTGTCCTAACCCCGCGCGACAGGCCCGGCCTTCTCCAGCTGTAACATTCCCTGCTGAAAATCAGCGCAGGCTCAGCCAGGGGGCGGCCCACTTGTTTTCAAAATATTTCCTCAGATAGCGCCGCTTTGGCTCAGACACGTTAGCACTTTCCAGAATCCCGCAGATGGTGAGGCAGCTGGAGAGGAAGGAGAAGAGGGAAGTGGGGAACAGAGTGGGAGAGGCCCGGGGCCAAGTCTCAGGGAGCTGCGTGCGCTCACACAGGCGCATGCGCGGGCATGGGTGCGGTGTGCGCCAACAGGGGTGCGCACGGGAGGGAAGGCGGGTCAGCCTGGAAAGGAGGCTTTCAAACATCTGAGCTGTGGAGCCTTCTTATGAACCAGAACATTCCTCAGACTCCCGATGTGTAGAACAGACAAATGGGGGAGAGGCCTGGAGGCCGTCCCATCAGGCCTCTGTGGGGTCCCCGCTGCACTGGGGGCTCCATGGAACCTCGTTTGAAAATCCTTGCTGCTAGAGGAAGCACCCCCTTCTTTGAAAGAGTTAGTGCCCACATTGTTCTAACATACGGAGCTTCCTAAGGGAAGATGAAATGATCTTTCTAGTAAATTCTAATTCGAGGGGCCGGCCCGGTGGTGTAGCGGTTAAGTGCGAGTGCTCCGGCGCAGCGGCCTGGGGTTCAGAACCCCAGGTGTGCACCAACACACCGCTTGTCAAGCCATGCTGTGGCGGTGTCCCATATAAAGTAGAGGAAGATGGGCGCGGATGTTAGCCCAGGGCCAGTCTTCTCAACAAAAAGAGGAGGATTGGCAGATGTTAGCCCAGGGCTGATCTGCCTCACAAAAAATTAAAAAAAAAAAAAATAAACAAAAATTAAAAAAAAAAATTCTAATTCGAGTCTAGCACAGCAAATGCCACACATCCTGAGAATCAGGGCTCAGAAAGTGCAAAGTGATGGATCCCATTAGCTGACGAGTTTGTGGGTACCTCTCTGAGAAGTGCTGTCTGTGTGCCTGGATCTGAACATCTGGGGCAGACAGCATGGGGTGAATAATGGTTATAACACATACCTAGCTCTCACTACGACAGACACGTTTCTAAACTCCTCACAGATATTAAGTCAGTTACAGCCCTATTACCACCCCCTTCTTACCGATTAGAAGACTAAGGCCCAGAGAGGTTAAGTGATGTGCCCAAGGTCACATAGCTACTACGCAGTACCGCGGGCATTCTGGCTTTAGAACGTGTCTCTTAGTTGTTACATAATTTGCCTTTTGGAAGGCGTGTGTCCCAGTATTTGTGTATCTGTGTGTGTGTGCATGCACTTGTGCCTACAAACCTGGTTTTGGTGTGTAATGTGTCCAGCTGTTTACTGAAATATTTGTGTGTTGGGGGGCATATCTGAGTGTGTGTGTGTATTCTTGCCCATGACAATGTGTGTGATGGTCTGTGAGTATGTGGGTGTGCAGCCTCTCTACCACCAAGGCTGCAATCTATGGGGTGCACCCCTCAAGTTCCCTCTCAGCAGCCTGGCAGCACAGGACAAAGGGGCTCCCCATCTGGAGGCAGGACCCAGAGCATTCCAACAGTGCCTGCTCCCCAAATCCTACAGGTTTCGGTTTGCTGGCCCAGCTCGGCACAGCCACATACAACGGGAAAGCCCCTTAGATACTCCCTGGGTCTGAGGTGGGGGCCCTCGGCTGCCAACCCTGCCGGGGAACTGCCCCCACCCTAGAGCCCTGGCTCTCCCCTCTTCACTGGGCGCTGGCTTTTAGAGTGTTCAACTGAATAAACTGAAGTTATTAAGTTATCATGAATTTGCTTCCTGCCCCGCAGCCACAGTAACTTACAATAGCGCTCGAGCTTCTTGAAATCACTGGTGTGAACTCAGACCACTAGCACCCTATGCGGATATGATTCCGGTCCAAAGCAAAGAACCTTGAAATTCTAGTTAGTCCGTGAAGCCCTCAACACAACTGTATGGTGTTTGAAGGTTTCTTCACGTGTGAGCCCCCCTTGGAGGGAAAATTAGCCTTGGTCCATCCACTCTAAACCAATCTTTAAGACGCAAACCTTCCTCAGATGCCACAAAACTGGAAAAAGCCCCATCATTCTCCATTATCAAAGTCAAATTCACCAGTGAGAGAGCCCCTCGGCCTCGCTGAGCAGGGTCAGGGCTGGGAGACTTACTCAGATGGAGCAGGCCTGAGCTGCAACCTCCTGCAGGCGGTCTTTTCTCCCACATGCTCCTTCTGTCCCCGGCCACCAGTGTCCCGTCCTGCAGCACAAGGACAGGCCAGCAGTGGACGTGTTCCCTGACTTTTGAGGCTCCCAAAGTCAAGGAGGAGGGGCTGGACGGGGAGGGCACAGGAAGGAGGGAGCTGGTGAAGACAGCCAGTGAGCCAGGTGTAACCACAAGGAGGCCAGAACAGAGCTTCCCAGCCTGGCCTCCGAGGTGGTTGTTTACTTGTGGTATTCAGGAGAGGCTGAGCTGGGGGCTGGCGTATTTATTTTCCACACTTTTCCTCCAAATCCTTTTCAGAGAGTCCTCTGGAACCCCTGTGAAAAATTTCCCGGGGCCCAGAGAAACCCACAGTCCCTCAGCACACAGCCATCTTTGGGGGTGGGGGTTGTGGAGGGGAGAGGCATAGAAGGAGGGATGGGGGGTGGCAACATGAAGTTACTGGAGGTCAGGGGCTCCCATGGCCTGCTTGCCCCCTCCCTCCATGCTGGCAGGAGCAACCAGCCAGATATGGGGCGCTGGAGACGAAGGCTGAGTGTGTCTACCTTCAAGCACAGAACAAACTTTCCAGCCTCCCAGGAACCACCCCACACCCAGCTGTGGAATCCACACGCTCAGGGCAGGACAAGCAGCATTCTATCATCTGTTTAGGCATCAGAGAAGAAAAGGTGACAAGTATTTCTGTTTAAGGAATGAAAAGGAGAGCTGTTTTCCTTTCCTCCTGTGTGACTTCATGAAGGGCAGAGAACTCTCTGGGTCCTTCCTCATGGCTAAGATTCCCTTGGCTCCACTGCTTTAAGACTTCTCAGCAGAGGCACTCACAGCCCCTCCCTGGGCTTCACCCATCATCTGACAACGTCCCCAAGTACCTCCATGTGTCAGACACTGGGACAGAGCCAGGGCGACAAGGATGAATAGCCCCCGTCCCACGGGTGGGGCAGCTTCTCTCCACACCCAGTCTCCCAACTTCCATCCTGCACAGCATGTCCACTCCGCAGCGTGGGGGGAGAGGGCTCCAACATCTTTGCAGCTTAGCACTGCGAAGGCTCTCAGAACTCACCCAGGTGGGCTTCCTGTGGGAGGTGAGCAGGGCCTGGCCGGGCAGTGCTCATCCTCTGCTCCTTGCTTCCTTTGCAGGTTGCCAGCTTTTCCTATACTATGGACACCTGTATCAGAGGCTCTTGGGGCAGACATGGGGGTGGGCAGAGCAGTGAGGATCCTGTCCCGACAGGAGTAACCCCTTTCAGCCCTTAGCAGAGTACAGAATACCAATCAGACTGCAATCACAGCTGCCCTTAAGAGCCTGCAGGGGTGTCCCGAAGGCAGCGTGGCTGGCAGTTCCCTAGCTTCGTGACCTCGGGCATCTGCTGCACCCCTCTGAGCCTCATTTCCTCATCTGTAAAGTGGGGATGACAACCGCTGTCCCTCTATGGGGCATGTATGAGAACCCATAAATCCAGGACCAGGTGAGCTGTGTGGCTATCACCCTCCCTGGCTGCCCCGGCTCTGCCCCCTCCATCTCTCCTGAGGACCAGACCCCACTGAGAAGTCCAACCCTCCAGGGCACGTGGCGGGGGTGGGAAGAACATCCACGATGTGTCTTTTTATATTCTCCAGGTAAGTGACAGCAGTAGGTGGCAGATGAGGGCTGATTTCCCTGTGTAATAGATTTCTACCCTGGTGAGAGCCGAAAAGGAAAAGGAATATAGTAATCCATTTGAGGAAGTTTACCTGGCAATTTCTCCCAAACCCAAACTTGTGACGTATATGGTCACAAGTGGCACCTGTGTCTCCACTTCTCGGATAAGCAGAGAATCTTCTCTCTCTGGAATTGCTGCAACATCTCCCTGCAATCGCTCCCAAACCGACATTGTTTCCTGACTCCAGATCCACATGGAAGCTCTAGCAGCCTGGTGCCCCCCAGGCTTTGATTCCCATGACCCATGGTGTAAGCCAGGCTGGGCAGAGTGTGTGGAAAAAGAGGACTGCAGTCAGAGGTCCCAGGACCTTGTCAGAAGTGCATCAGTGTTGCTTCCTTGTTGCCGTGGAGAACCAGAAGGGACCTTAGAGACAGCCTGGCATGGTGGAGACAGCATGGGTTCCAGAGTCAGACTGCCCAGGTTTGAATCCTGGCTTTGTCCCTCACCAGCTGTGTGACCTCGAAAAAATTACTTAACTTCCCTGAGCCTCAGTTTCCTAATCTGTAAAATGGTGATAAAATGCTAACCTCACAGGGATGTAAGGGCTTAATGAGATAATATATGTAGAGCTCTTGATCCACAGAAGAAATAATTAAGGTGGAAAGGCGATACTGGGAAAGGACTGGCTGCAGCATTCCACCTGACAATGGGGGTGGCCAAGCCCAGATCAGTCCATCTCTCATCTGAGGCCAGAGTCCTAGGCGCCCGCTGCCCACATACTTCGCTAATTTCAGCATTGAGACCATTTAGAAGCTTGAAATGCACAAGGAACCTAGTCACAAAGGGGCAGGGGTGGGGAAGGACACATTTCTTTGCAATTACATGGCCAGGTGGCCCCCACATCCTTCCACACTCTCAATCCTATGCCAGGAGGCAATCATTCCCAAGACTGCTTGCAACTCCAGTCTGGGAACATGAGACGTTTCCGCTCCTCTGGGAGGCTCACGCCAGCTGGCGCAGAGACACCCACCCAGTGCTCAACACAGGGCCTGTGATGGCCCCTCCACCTGCTGCCACCACGGAGCCAAGCCCCTGCTGGAGGACACAGATCCTAGACTCTTCATGAGACTCATCTCCAGCCAGGCCAGCAGGAGCCAGGAAGAAACACCCCACAGCAGGCCCAGCTTAGTCAGATGCAGAAATGGACTCTCCTGCTGCCCCTCTTAGGGGAGCAGAGGCCAATGATGAGATTCAAGCCCCTGGTGCCAGCCCACAGCGCACAGTGGAACATGCTGCCTGGGCCACTTCCCCACACAGATTAGGCAGGGCTCCCTGGAGCCACTCAGGGCCCCTTCCTCTGCAGGAAGACCAATTCCAATCCAGCAGAGGCCCACCAGGCTTGGCTCATAGTGTCCTTAACAAATATTAATTATTGGTGTTAGTATTCAGCAAACAACTATTTATTAAGTGCCCACTATGTGCCAGGCACTGTGCTAGGTCCAGGATAATCCTTGAACCATCCTTGGCCCCCAGGACATCAGGGCGTCCGAAAGCAAACACAACTTCAGGTGCAATGAAAAGAAATAAGGCGTCTGGACCACTCTGGTTTCTCCCTGACCTTGGAGTCTTAAACATCCGCCACCCAGTTTTATACATACACACGCAGGGCTGGATCTCCTCAGCCAGTTCCCCCAAAGTCTCTTTGAGGAAGCACATCCGCTGGGGGGAAGGGTCTGTGCTTCCCTCGCAGGCCCTGTCACTGCCACCACCCAGCTGTCCAGTGCAGCACCGGCCTGCCGGCCTTTTCCACCCTGCTCACAGACCCCAGCACGCCGGTCTGAGTTCATGAATCACTCCCTCCTCTCTCCGGGCCTCGCCTCCGGAAGGGCTGCGCACACCCAGACACATCACCCAGACACCGAGTTTCCACTCCAAACTCGCTCCTGATGAACCCTGAAAACCGACTGCAATGTCTGCTTTCCCCTCCCCACTCTTCGGCCCTGGGATCCTGGCCCGACTTTCCAAAGACAAGGCAGCCCCTCCCTTGCCAGCCGCGTTTGGGGGCTCCTCACTGGAGGATTGCGGGGACAGCAGACAAAGACCGTGGACTTATTTCAGGGCAGGAGGACAAGCTTGGTCTAAAGTTCCAAAATCCTGCGCTCCCGGGACTGTAAATTTCGGTCTTTGGCGTGTGCCAGGTCGGCGTGGCGTGTGCTTAGAGCGTGTGCGCGGTGTGTCTGCGGCTTGAGTGATGAACTGTGTGTACCCGGCAGTTGTGAATCTGGGTGCAGTAGGTCTGGGTGGTGTGGGTGCCTGCGTGGAGTTTTCCCCGAGCCGGAAACTCCCTGTCCCACCCTCGGTTTCGCCCCCTCCTCCTCCAAAGTTTGGCGCGCGCGCCCGGACGGGGAAGTTGGGGGGCGCACGGCTGGGCGGCCTCCTCCGGGCCCCAGAAGCGGTTCCGGGACGCTGGCGCCCCACTTACCCGGCCGCCGAGGCTCCTCCGGCGGGGGCGGATCCAACTCTCCGCGGCTGGGGTCCGGCGCCGGCAGCATCCGCTCGCAACTTTGCCCTCCTCTCGGCAGAAGCGGCTCCGGGGCTCCGGCTCCCTCGCGGCCCGAGCTCTGCGGCCTCCAGGGGACCGCGGTGCGAAAGGAGGGAGGAAGGGAGGCGCGGCCCGGCCGGTTCTCACGCCGGGCGAGAAGCGGCGCCAGGCGGGCGCCGTCCTGCGCAGCGAGCGAGTGAGCGAGCAGTCCTGCCCGGAGCCCTCCCTGCTCGGGCCAGAGCCGGCGAGCGGCCCACGGCGGCGGCGGATTCCTGAACCGCGTCCAAGGCGCCTGGCGAGCCCTCCTTCTCCTCCTCTTCTTCCTCACCCCACCCTGCTCCCAGCCCTGCGCGCCCAGCAACTTGGGAACCGTTGGCGAAGTTGGCGCAGCTCGGGCTGCGCGCCGGCCGGGCCTCCGCGTGGAAGGAGAGGAGAGGAGAGGGAGGAGCTGAGGCGGGACGGGGGGAGAGGGCCCTCCCCGCCCCCGGGGAGACGCGCTCTCCAGGACCCCTCTGTGGGCCTTTGTTCCGGCCGCTGCACCTCGGCCCGCCCCTCCCCGGGGACTCGGGGCCACTCGAATCCTCCCAGAGAGGCTGGGAGGAGCTCCCGGCCCCTGAGTGGGTAGGTGGGGGGAGAGGTAGCGTGGAGATCCTCGCGGAAAGACCTCGCAGGAGACCCTGCCAGAGCCCCCCAAGCCATAACCAGCCTCCCATCCTATCCCTCCCCAGGGAGACTCCTCTGGCTGCGTGGGTTCTTCGCCATCTCTGCCCGGGGGGATCTTCACCCCCCGCCTCGGGGAGGCCGGGGGAGGGGGACGCAAATGATGGTCCCCCGGGCTTCCAAAGACTACAGCACCGCCTCCCTGGGCGGTCACAGGTCACCCACCCGCCCTTCTGTGCCTTCTCCCGCCGCCAGTCCAGGCGCCCCAATGCAGGACCCGGGAAGCCAGAAGGAAGTAGGGTCCATGCGGGCCCAGCCAGAGTCGCTTCGCGTTATCTTCCGACCCTCCTGGGCAGCGGGCACCTCCGCAGGGGGACTGCCGAACGAGTGACCCAGTCGCCTCCCGCTCGTGGGGCAGTGCCCAGCTGGGCAGCGCCGGCTCTGAGGTACAAGGCTAGCTTCACCAGGAGCGCGGTAAAGGGCTCGGAACTGGAACACGATCCGCGCCTCCCTGTTACTTGCCTGAATCCTGGTGATGCCCGCGCCTCCCAGGCTTAGATTCTGGCTCGCAAGGCTTTCTCCTGAGTCTTCCCAACACTTAGCGGCAGGAGCTAATTCAGGCCTCTGTAAGACAGTGGTCCTGGCATTTAATGGGATAGTATAGGGTTTAGGCACAATAAGTCATTTCCTGTAAAGGAGAAATAGGAAAATCCCCAAAAGCACAAACCTCAACATCTGCACTTGGCCTCCCTCCTCATTCTCAACATTTATAGATGAGAAACCCGAAGAGAACTGAGCACGACCCCGGCCTTCCCGGGAGCTCCTGACAGATGGGGGACATCAGAGGTCCCTGTTCATTACCTGGGTCCAGCCCACCTGAAGCTCTCAGGGCTGCAGGCTGGAGGGGGCCTGGGCAAAGTGCTCTGGGCTGTGAGGTGAGACCTTGGTGTCTCTTGTAGCAGAAAAACTTGATTGGGTGCTTCAGTTCTGTTATTAACAGTTCTGTGACCTGCTATAGGGGACCAGAGATTTGGTGAGAATTCAGACCCTAGTTCACTTCCTGGGTAAGTGCCCTGAATCCCTCTGTATCTCCTGCAGCCCTGGCTGCCCTCACCTCACCTCACAGGGGGCCTGTCTCAGCCCTGGAAGCAGTCTGCATGCTCTCCAACTGGTTTTCAGAGCAGGAATCTTCCCCCTGCCCCTGCGCGTGGTGGGTTCCTGCTGACTCCATCGCCTCTTCTCGGAAGGGAGGACATCCGTTTCAGCCTCGCAAATCTGTCAAGAAGCTCTATTTCACTGCACCTGCTGGCCTTATAAGGGAGGCCTTCCTGTCGGACATATGGAGTCTTGGATTTTATTGCCAGAACTTTGTGATGCACCTCAGGGGATACAAAGGCCAAAACCTAGAACTGTGTCACCACCAGAAAACAGAGAATGGGACTCTGTGCTGCTGAGGTGAGGGTGAGAAGGGGAGCGCAAGGAGTCACTGAGAAATTCCTGTGTTCACCCCGTACTTGTTGAGCACATATTGGATACTGGGGCCTGCAGAGGTAAACAAGCCTTTGTCCCACCTTCTGTCTAGAGAAGACAGACCTATGTCTAAATAAATACTAGTGATACAATATGCTAGGTGAGGTGAGGCTGGGTGAGGCGAGGCTGGGCTGGGAGCAGGGTGGGGGTGGGGGGTGTCTCCAGAATAAGAACACAGGCTTGCACCACGCCAGGGGGTGCCAGGTACAAGGATCATGATGTGACTGTTGACCCCTGGAATTGTGCAATGCTGCAGCCTTATTCCTGGAGCTGAAGACCCCAGGCCTGGGCTGAAGAGATGAGCTGGAGTCCTGCAGGTAGAAAAGAAGAGCTGGGACGAGGGCTTTCTAAGTGAAGGGACCAGCAATGAAAGAAACAGGTATGAAAGGGTATTCATTCCCCAAGCTTCAGGCTGGCATGACAGCCAACACTTGGGCCTCCAGTGAGGGCGTCTTGGGTGCCAATGAGAGGTATAGGATAAAGGTCTGAAGCAGGACATCGAGAATTTTCATCCTACAATAGTTTTCAGGCTCAACTTCTTCCCGCACACTGCCCTGCCAAGAGAACTGGTCTCAGTTTTTTTATCCTGTTTGAACAATTGAGAGAACTTTCCAAACCAGAGGCAGAATTGCAGAGAGGTTACGAATGTGGGAGCCTGAGCACCGCTTTGACCAAGCAATCCAAGTTAAGGTCACTAGCAATGGGACACGCTGACATCCTGTCCCTCCTGATGGGATGTTCTTAAAGGACACAGTGTTGAGTATGAAGTATTCCTGCCAAAAAACGCAGCTTCTGAATCTAATCACGAGGAAACACCAGACAAACGCAAACTGAGGGACATTTATGAAACAGCTGGGCTGTAATGTTTAAAATGTCAGTGACATGCAAGACAAAGAAAAAGGCTAAGAAACCATTCCAGATTAGAAGAGGTTAAAGAGACATGAGCACTGTGGTAGGCAGACTTCTAAGATGGTCCCCATAACACCCCCTCTCCTGGTGTTCACACCCTTGTGTAATCCCCTTCCCTCGAGTGTGCTTGGACCTGGTGACTTGCTCCTGATGAATAGATTATAGCAAAGGTGACAGAATGTCACTTCTGAGATTACAGAGGACTGCAATTGAGGTTACAAAAGACCGTGAGTGACTTCCGTGACTGCCTTCCGTCTTGCTAGCATTCTCTCCCCACCTCTTCTCAGCTTGCTTGCTCTGATGAAGTGAGTTGCCACATTGTGAGCTGTCCTATGGAGAGGCCCCTGTTTCAAGGAACTGAGGGAGGCCTCTGGCCAACAGGCAGCAATGACCTGCATCCTGCCAACAACTGCCAAGTGAGCCTGGAAGCACACCCTGGCCCAGGTGAACCTTGAGATCACTGGCCGACATCTTGATGCAGCCTTGGGGACCCTGAGCCAAAGAGCCCAGCTAAGCCACATCCAGACTCCTGAACCACAGAAACTGTGAGGTCATGAAGGTGGTTGTTTTAAGCCACGAAGTTTTGGGGTAACTTGTTATGCAGCTATATGTAACTAATACAACTACTAAATTGCAATGTGTAATCCTGAACTGGATCCTGGGACAGAAAAAAAAATTACTATGAAAAACATTACTTAGATAGCTGGCAAAATAGTAATAGGGATCGATGAATAATAATATTATGTCAATGTTAAATTTCTGAGTCTGATAACTGCACTGTTTTGTAAGATAATGTTGGTTCATTAGAGATATACACCAAAGTATTTAAGGTCATGATTTCCTTCCTACCTTTTGAATGGTTCAGAAATAAATAATAAAAATAAATATTATATATAACATATATATTATAGAGAAAGAGTTTCATTTATCTATTAATTTATCTATTGTATAATAAACTACCTCAAAACTTAATAATTTAAAACAACGAAAATGTATTTTTTTTCACAATTTTGTGCGTTGATAGGATTCATCTGGAAGGTTGCTCTGTTTCATTTGGCATCAGCTGAGGGCTCTCACTCGGCTGCATTCAGCTGGCAACTGGGCTGAGCTAGGCTGGAAAGTCCAAGAGGGCTTCACTCCCATGTTTGGCTCCTTGGTGCTCCTCAACATGTCCCTCTCGCCCTGTGTGGCTAGCTCGGGCTTCCTCACAGCGTGGTCATTTACATAGTAGTACATAGCTGCCAGCTTTTAAGAGGGAGGAAGTGAAAGCTGCCCGTCCTCTTAAGGAGCCCAGCTGCATGCTGAGCCCTTCTTGGGATCTGGGGCAAATCCTCTTCTCTGGGCCAGGTAGAGCTAGACAGCAGTGACTCAGGGAAGAATCCTGGGGGCAAAGGAGGAGGGGAAGAGGAAGGTTATAAGGAGGCTCCCCCAGCCGGAGGTTAAAGGGCCCCGAGGCTCAACAGCCCAGAGTCAGCTCTTCCCTCTCCCCGCTGCCCCACCCCATCCTCTGCCCCCTCATCATTTTAACCTAGGAGCTCACTTAAAGATGTCAAGGGGTGGAGAGGGAGGAAGGAAAATGTGACTTATTTAGCACAAAGTGCCGGGAGCTTCACCCACATTATTTCATTTAAGCCTCACAGCGATCCTGCAAAGAAACCGTTATTTTCCCCTTTGACAAGAAGAGGTAGCAGAGGTCTTGGGAGGTGTGGTGACTTGAGTAGACTCGTACTGCAAAGGTATTGAATCAAAGAATGTATTTACTTCTTTATTCAACAAATATTTTTTGGCCCAGGACTATGCTGGGCTTGGAACACAGGGATGACTGATGTCTTAGTCAGCTGTTGCTGCAGAGCAAACACGCCCCAGGTCTCAGTGGTCTACAACAGCAAGCATTCATTGTCCTCACTCACAGGTCGGTGGGTCAGCAGGGATTCTGTTTCAGGCCACAGATTGCTGGGCGTGGGTCCAGCCTTTGGGTTGGGTTCAGGTCACTCTTCATGTCCCCACATTCTACGTGGACCAATGGCTACCCTGGGACATGTTCTTCGCAAGGTAGATCACAGGAGTACAGGAGACAAGCGAAGCCACCCAAGCACATTTAAAGCCTCTGCTGACATCCCTGCCAAGGCAAATCCCAGGCCCAAACCTAAAGTCATTGAGGCAGATAAGTCTATTCTACTCACCATGAAGCCACGGGGATGGCACAGAGAGTGAGTTCTGAGACAGGGGGATGAAGAATTGAGAGCAGGGATCCAGTCTGCCAACAGTGACGGGGCACAGGCCTTGTCCTCAGAGAGCTCACAG